AAAATCCCTCATCTCGATGACGTACGCGCCGACCTCCAAGAATCGCCCTCCAATATTGAGTCTAAGGTTTTCTGACTTAGAACTCGTCACTATTTTCTGTCCCGAGGCTAAACTTACCTCAAGAGGATCAACAGTGTCAAGGAGTTGAACTCCTATGGCTTCTATACATTGTTTTGACACGAAAGAATGTGATGCTCCCGTGTCAAACAATGCAAAAATAGGAATATCATTTAAAATAATCATCCCAGACATGGTACCTGGGTTCTCCTCTGCCTGAGCCTGGTCCACAGCATATACTTGAGCTTGCTGCCCCGCTCGCCTCTGCTGCTGAGGCTGAGCCTGAGGTTGAGGCTGCTGCCTGTCTGGACATTCCTTGGTCATATGCCCCGGCTTCCTGCAATTATAGCAGACATTCTGTCCTGCTAGACACTCTCCACGATGAGAACGTCCACACGTGCCACAAACTGGTAGTCGGTTAGCTGGAGCTGGCTGCCTTTGGTTATTCTGAGGGCCCTTAAACTTTCTCTTGTTCTTGAGTTTGTTCTTTGCTGGTTGGTCAGACATGGGCTGCACTGGGGAACTGACTGGTACTTGAGGAAGTGGCGACACTTGAACTTGGCCATCTCCTCTTCTGAAACTCGCATCCACTTCTTGAGCCTTGGTCACCACATCAGCATAGGCCTGAATGCAATGCCCGCCTACATGGTGACGGATTACTGGTAGTAACCCTTCTTGGAAGCGCCTTGCTTTCTTGGCCTCCGTGTCTATCAGATAACTGACAAAAGATCCCAATCTGGTAAACTCTCGCTCGTATTCGCCCACAGAGCGATTAACTTGGACTAACGCCAGGAATTGGCGTTCCATCTCAGCACGGTAATGAGCTGGATAGTACTTTTCTTCTAGCATCTCCTTGAACTGGATCCAAGTGAGATGCTCCTTCTCACCAGGACGCATGCCCCAGTAAGAGTTCCACTATAGTCTCGCATCTCCAGTCATCTGAAGTTGTGCACAGAGAATACGGTGTCTGTCTGTGTATTCAGTGATCTCGAAAATAGATTCCATACCCTGAATCCACTCCTTGACTAAACGAGGATCTCCTTGCCCCGAGAATTTCTCAGCATTGAACCCCCGGAACTGGGCAACGACTTTTGAGGTCGTCAATTCTCTTCTAGCTGGAGGTGCCATCTAAAATTTATCGTAAAAGATAAACTTTTAGCACACTTAGAAAAATACTGGCAAAATACTATGTTTATTGAGCATCTATTTTGATAAAATTCAGACATCTGATTCTTATTGAGCATAGACTTAGTAATTTGCATATATTAAAATTTCATAAAAACTCTTAACAACACTTACCTGGTAGTCGGCGAGGTGTGAGTGTGGTGCGGTCGGTTTTCCTGAAACTTTCTTTCTCAAAACTTAAAGTTTTAGTATACAGAGCGTTTAGACTTTGGCTCTGATACCAACTGTAACACCCCGCTTATCAGAGTAAATTTTTCGCAACTTATTTCAAAACATACTTATAACTTTTTCGAAATATTCTTAACTCGGAATGCTACTAAAACTTAACTTCTTTGAAAATTTGTTTTCTTAAACTCGATAAAACAGATTTGACATTTTGAACAAGTGTGAAACTAAACTCATTTATAATAATAAACAGAAACTTTACTTAATTATCAAACTTCAAATCACACAAGTTCAAATTTAATATACATAGCGGAAGTCTTTAAACGTGGCATTTACAAACCGATGCCTTATTGAATTTCACAATCAAACTTTAATAAACTCACAACTGAATGCACAACTGAATGCACAACTGAAAGCACAACCGACACCACAACAGCTTGACTCACAACCTCGGCCCGACCCTGTTACCTGAAAATGATAATAGTGGGACGTGAGTACTAATCAACTGTACTCCGTAAAAAATCATACTGAAGTAAACATTAATAATAATATCAATATCATGATCACAGGTATATATAAGCTTCTCCCGGACCTTGTTCCGGTAACTTTAACTGAACTTTGCAACTACCGTACTGCCGGTTCTCATGTGATCACATATTGGGGGCTGCCCCCCCAAAACCCAGTCTGGACTGGGCGAGTCTTTAACTTACATAGGATGGCTTATTAAGGCTACTGCGCCTCCACCCCAAGCATAATTTTAACTCATATACATACCTTTGAACATGATCTAGCTATTATACTCAATGTACTACCCAGTCTGGGTTCCCACCTTTCGTCTTCAAAACTGTTTTGAAAATTGAAAGTGTTGTTCTTGTAGCCGAACTTCTCACGCTACATAAAAAAAAATATAAGCAAGAATACTAAGTACTATGCTCAAATACTCTTAACTTTAACTAATAACTTATCCGAATAATATATAAGCCATAGCTCAAATAACATAATACATTAAATAAATCAAACTCTTGATGAACTTCATCCAAAGATAAAACTCAACTCATATAAATAATGCCTTATTACTTAGATGTTGGCTTACAAAACTTGTAAGTGAAATAACTCAAATTCACATACATAACTCAACATATTCAACTTACCAACATCAAACTTAACTCATGATTTATAACAACTAAACTTGCTCATCCTTATAACTCAATCATAACATTAAATTATGATATCAACATGTGTACTCAACATGTTAAAGCTAAACTTGCACAATTTATGAAATTGCATGCTTATCAACATTTTGATGCTAAACTTATCAATTTACTCATCATCAAATGTGAAACTCATACCCTTACACTTAACATGAATAACACATCATATTAAGCTATCAACTTATAACTTTATCAACTTCTCATCATGATAACTCATATCAATAACATGAAATGGATACTATTATGCCAACATAAATTAAATCATTACTCAACTTATAACTCATGCATGATATCAAATACTTAAATTCTGACAAGAATCACTTATACTATTCATGCTTTGCTCATGACATGATACAAGCATGAATTACCTCCTTCAAGGACTTGAAATTTGAAAGACTTGATATGAACTTGAATATGAACTTGAATATCTTGAAAATCCTTTACTCCAAAATACTTCTCCTCACTTAAACTCTCAATATAACTTTGATACTTTACTTTGGTGTAAAAATCTGATTTTTGAAGTCTCTATTTATAGCCAAAACTTTGGAATAAAATATTTGGAGTGAAGAAATTAACAAATTAAACAATTTAAACTTGTAAAAATTAATCACTTAAACAAGTCCTTACCAAACATTTCAAATTTTCAGGTAAGCATATTTAATTGCTCAAAATACACTTTAGTTGGCATCAAAAACGTACTAATGACAATCTGCTCATTTCTGTCGGTCACACGACCCGTGTGACTAGTCACACGACTCGTGTGAGCTCACATGACTCGTGTGACTTGGTCATACGACTCGTGTGACAAAGCCGAAGCTTAAATTGAAATATGCTTTGAGTCACACGACTCGTGTGACTTGCCACACGACCCGTGTGACTTCACACGACCCGTGTGGCTACCCACACGACCCGTGTGACTTAAAAACATAAATTTCTTAACTTATTTACCCTCAAAATATCTCGATTTTGAAGATAAACTGATACTTAACTGAATGGGATATTACAAAGTGTGAACGCAAATTCCCCGTAACGAAGACCTTATAGCCAGGTGAAGACGCATGAAGACAAGGGCATAGAGATGAGCGCAACTTCAAGCCCAGAGGACGAGCACAAAAGCATGAGTGTAAAAGAGAAGTCCAATGGCACAGAAAGTCCATCATGTTTAAAGTCACGAGGCTGGATGGTCACATGCTTCGACCACCTCCAGGGGTGGGCATGTGTTCGAAAATTTAAAGTTCATAATGTTTAAGGTCACGAGGCTGGATGGTCGCATGCTTCGACCACCTCCAGGGGTGGGCATGTGTTCAAAAATTTAAAATCCATCATGTTTAAGGTCACGAGGCTGGATGGTCGCATGCTTCGACCACCTCTAGGGGTGGGCATGTGTTCAAAAATTTAAAATCCATCATGTTTAAGGCCACGAGGCTGGATGGTCGCATGCTTCGACCACTTCCAGGGGTGGGCATGTGTTCAAAAATTTAAAATCCATCATGTTTAAGGCCACGAAAGCTGGATGGTCGCATGCTTCGACCACCTCCAGGGGTGGGCATGTGTTCAAACGTACAAACATCGATTAAATAACGAAGAATGGGCCGACTAATGAAAGTGTGTTGATCATGTATCAAAGTTCGCATCAATCATTCTCTGAAGTCCACTTTGGTTCTTCCGTTGAAGAGTTACGACAAAGGCATCAAGTCAAATTACCAAAGAGCATTATTGAAGATAGAAACAAAACATTACCATTTCAAGAATATTACAAAGTTCATCAGAGAACAAAACTAGAGTACGAAAGAAATAGAATACAAAAGTAGCTACTCTAAGGAGGAGGGGCAGCGGCCGAGTCATCATTGCTCGAGCTGGCATTAGGATCCGGTTGGGGACCAGTTCTAGAGGTCGAGTCACAGGCCTTATTGAGAGGGCGTCGTCTGATAGATTCAGCCATTGCGATCAACATGGAGGTCGGAGGGGTCATGCCATCAGGCAGAGTGAATGTTTTCTTTAGTGCGTCCGATCGAGCCAAGGTTCTCTCGAGCTGCCCTGACCACCGTTCATGCTCGAGTGGCAAGGAAGAGTCTCCGCGGAAGCTAGAGGGCACTTTGGGAAAAGCACCCCAGATAGCCACGGGGTCGAGCTGCTCAAAATCATCCTCGGCAATCTGCTCACCACCCTTTTGCAGGGCGAACTGAAAGCAGTCCACCCGAAGTCTTGCACCTCCTTCAGATATTGTGGCGACTGCACGAAGTCAGCCACCACTTGCGCGTGATGCTCACGGAGGAAGAGCTGCCTGGTTGTTGTCGCCCAAAGCATTTGTCTTGCTCAAAGAGTAGTGGAATTTGCATAGCGTTGCTTCTCCTAGGCATGGGCAGCCCTTTCTTTGGCCACGGTGGACTCTAGCTCAGCCCGAGCTTTCTCTGCCTCGGCTCGAGCCTTTTCCACCTCAGCTTGAGCCTGTTCCGCTTCAGCTTGAGCCTTTTCTGCTCCGACTCGAGCAGCCCGCTCTTGCTCGAGCAATGCCTCCTTTTCCTTCATGGCGGCCTCTTTCTCTGCCACCGCAGCCTCCTTTGCCGCAAGAGCAGCATCTCTATCCGCGAGAGCCTTTCCTTTGTTGCTGAGCTCTTCATCAAGGGATTTAATCTTGACGTCGAACTTAGTCTTCTGTTCTGTCTGTGTCTCGCAGAGCATGGCATTACGCTGCAGGAGGGTCGAATTTTTATCCTGCAGATAGCCGATGTTGCTCTCGAGGCTTTTGATTGACTTTTCCGAGCTGTCCCGAGCCTCTTTGGCCAGGGGAAAGAACTTGACTAAGCCCTATATAGACAAAATGAAACAGTTTAATCCAGTGGTCGACAAGAGAAAAAGGCGGTAATGACGAGTTAGGGTAAACACACGAAAAACAATACCTGGGCAAACCATTGGACGAGCTGGTCGCCAACTTCAGGGAGAGTGGCGACAGTCTTTTTGCGGTCGTCCTCGAGAAGGATGCCCTCGAGACGATCGACCACCTCATTCATAGGGGCGGATAAGATAGAGGTGGACCGAGAGGCTAAAGGATTGGGCGGAAGGTGGCTATTACGTGCTCGTTTCCACAACGCTTCCAGCTGCTCGGTGTGGGAACGCTTGCCAAGAACTGCCTCACGCCCTGCGTCGTCTTGACCGCCGAACTCGACCAAAGCCTTGGTCGAGCCGGCGGAAAGGGTTTTGGAGGATTGTTGGTCGAGAGGAGATTTTTCTTGGGTTTTTGTTTTGGACGAGGTGTTGGGTTCAGAGGATTTATCGGTGGTCTTGGACGAGATGTTAGGGTCAGAGGATTTATCGGTGCTTTTGCCTGGGGGATTATCCTTAGAATCGGGTGCTCGAGGACCGGTTTTCTGAGAGCGGTCGTCGGTTTTATGCTGGCGGTCTGTGGTTTTTTTACGACCGTCAGACTTGTGTTGGCGGTCGGTAGTTTTCTGACGATCGTCGGTTTTGGAGGAGGTCTAAATCACGATTTTGTTATGTTGAGGGTTCTTCCCAGGAGGGGTGGTGGAGGTTGCCGCTGTTGTGAGGAAAACGACTGCTTTTGTTGTAGCTGTGGCTGTTGTTGTTTGTTTTTGAAGCGGTGGTTGCTGAGATTGACATGGCGGTGGTTGTGGTGACGGCGAGGATTGAGAGAGAGGTTGGCGAGGTGGTGATGGCTGCTGTCGCTCTGGTCGCGACCCAGAGGAAGTGGTAGACCCATCGGTCTTATCGCTGGTCGATCTAGCAACAATCCCCGATTTTTTCTTCAAGGGGACTTTCCTCAGAGGGATGTTAAAATTAGGAGCCTCTGCACAAGTACAATAAGGAGATTAAGGTAAATGTCAGTTTTTTTACTTCGACGGAAATAAGAGCACATATGCAAACACTCGAGCAAACGGGTCGAGAATTACCTGGATCATTTTCAATACGAACAAGATTGAGAATCTCCTTAGTAGGAGGAGAAAGAGTTTTATGGGTGAGAAGACCGCAATAGTGGAGAAGATTTTCATCCCCGAGAAGTTTTTCAGACTCAACGGACTTGGCATTCCAAGTGTGAATCTGTTGGTCGAAAAGATGGTTTGGAGGAGGGGCTGAAGCTGCTTCTCGCGAGATTTCTTTGACCTAAGGAATGGAAGGCCAGGGGAAAGGGGCATCAGGTTAAACAAAGATGAATTTATCACTCCACTTGGGGAGATTGGAAGGGACGTCGTTGATGAAGTGGGCACCATTACGGCTTTTCAAGTATAGGCCTCGACCTTGCTTCGAAGGGCCATAGCAATAAAGGAAGAAATTCAGATCGAATCTGTAACACCCCTCCTTATCGTTAAATCAGAGTGTGGAAATTTCACAAAGTTATTTAAAAACAAAACCTTTTGCTTTGCGAAAACTGATTCGGGGTGCTACCTTAAAATCGTGACTTAATTTGGAAAACCGTTATTTTAATTTTTTTAATAAAATCAAATACTGATACTGAAAGCATAATGTTTTTCAAAAGTCCAACAAAATGTAAGTTCGTCAAAAGTCATTATCAGCGGAAACGTAAATCATCATCACATATATACAATCAAAACATGATAGTCCTGAAGCCATCGTCACGTCACGCTCCCTGCCCGACATCCTGACCTGAAAAACATGATAAAAGTGGGAAATGAGCACTATGGCACTGTGCTCCGTGGAAACTCATACGAATGTAAACATTGAAAATAATAACAACATCATGATATCAG